GTGGTGGATTCGTAGGGTGCAGCTTCAATGGAAATCCAGTTGCCTTCCTGGGAGGGGCTAGCTGCCAGCCTTTCTCATCACTGCCCACCCCAACCCCTGCCCAGCTCCCTGTTGCAGAAGCTCAGTTCCTGGCAGAGATGACTGGAATTCTCTATCCATCCCCTCCTCGTAAGGTGGAAGCTCTGTCCAAGGCACATGAGGCCAAACTTAGGGGGAGCTCAACAACTTCACACCAGTTCCTCCCAGGAAGATACTGTAGCCCCAGACTGGGCCTGAGGAGGGAGGATCCCTGAATTCTTGGCTACATCCACTCAGAGTGAAGCTTCTGTCTTGCTAATTAAAGTGTGTGTGCGGGGGATGAGTGAACATATAGATTTTTGGCTCAAAGGCCACCGTTTCTCATTATTCTTACCCAGATTTAGTAGATTTTCTTAAATATATACTTTTTTTTTCATTTTCTGTATAACCTTAAGACAATCAAGAGATTTTAACACATTAGTTTTTTAGTAATTTTTGTAAGTTATGGTTGATTTTCTGGGGAGAAGTTCTTCAGAGCTCTCATACTACCATTCAGCAAATTGTCTTCCTGTGTCAAGAAACATTTCAAAAATAAATAATCTAGCAAGTTAAGTGAGATTTAGTAAATTTGGTGGTTAATTAGTAGAGTTTATCTGTGTCATTAAAACCTTATTGGTTATGACCACTCATTGCAAGACTCTGGAGGGAAAAAAAATCTATTCCAGATGCCATATGGTGCTTTTTTTCACATTAGCAGTAATCATAAGCAAATAAACATGTTAGAAAGTGAATGCCATGAAAAGTGAATAGGTTTTTAATTCACAGTAGCAAGTACGTTATCATGTGGGAAAATATCCTGACAGTCAATAGACAGTATCACATAATGACATTATCTTCTCAGTGCACAACTTAACATTGATTTTCTGTTTTGTGATCACTAATATGTTGCACTACAACTTAGGAGCAAGCATTGATGACTTTATACACTCTGTGGAGAATCAGAACATAGCTTTGGAAGTAGATATGCTTGGAACTAGAAACGGCCTCGATGACCCATCCTATAATGGAGCTATCATAGTGTCTGGGAATGAAAAGGTACGCTGGTCTCTTTAATCATTTTTCCCAAAGGCGTGAAAAGCTAATATCAGTATGCTCAGGTCCCCAGTTTAGGAAATGAAATGAAAAGCAAATACTGCTCCCATTTATTACTTAGTCAGTTGTAGTCATTAATATGATGCAATTCATGTATCCGTCATTGTCTACCAACACAAACTATGTACATTAGCAAAATAAACACTACACAATACTCAACTGTCAAGTGCATCTGGAAGTCCAAATAATTTAAATTTGCTCTCAAGGATTTTATAATACGTATATTCTGACAATTTTGTTTCTTCTTAAACAATAATAATGTTTTATTCTAGCCTTAAACCAGACATCTGGCGTCTTGAAAATCAGATACAGCCTGTAAACGTTGTTTTGGCTGACTTAACACAGCATTTGGTTTTTGTTTTGATTAATTGACACCATTTTTAAAACGTGATTTTTTAAATTAAAATATTGGCTCTTGGCCTCTTTAGAGGAAAAAAATGAAGATCTGTGAGAATTTATACCCTTGCTTTTTATGTTTTAGAGTTACAGCTTTTCATTAGCATGCAATACCAAAAGATTGAATTGCTTCCCAGTTCTCATGGATATTGTTAGTAACGGGCTACTTGGAATGGTTAAACCGTCAGCACACATCCAAACTGACAGAAGTACGTTTTGGGGGGTAAGTATATAATCTTACGGACTCTCGTCCATCAGGAACCTCCCAGTTTACTCTTTTAAGCTCTGACATCTTATTCTTATTGAGTAAACTGCTCCATAATAAATTAACATTTAGATTCATGCTAACTCTACAGCTTTGGAAAAAATCAATACACTTTTCCGAGCTTCGCGTTTTTTTAATGCAAAATAGAACTCACAAAATTTTTTTCAAAGAGAAAATATAAGGCAATGAAAGTGAAATCGTGCAAGATTGTGACCAGCACAAAAATGACAAAAGAAAGGACAGAACCAAAGAGAGAACAAGGGAGAGGAAGGGAGGGGGGACAAAGGAACAAAAGCTTTATTATTACTTTTATAAATGTTACAAAAGAAAAAAACTAGGGCAAAGTTCAGGCTAGAATTGCAGGCTGGTTACATTAGAATTACTCCAGTTCTTTGTCAAAAATATTAATTCCTAGGGCCTACACCTCCCAAGCCAGCTTTTTCATATGTGGGGCAAAAAAAATCTTATTTCTAAAATAAATGGCTCAGGTGATTGGAATGCATGCAGTCCTCTGAGTTTGGAAACCAGAACACCTATCAGAGTTTGTAATTACTCCTTTTTTGAATATTTCCTAAATATATTGCTCCCTCTTAGAGAGTTCTTTGAGCACAGGGACCATGTATCTTTAATATAGCAATACTCGATACCTAAGATAGTAACTGGAACACGATGAGCACTAAATAACTTGATAGATACATAAACACACGTCAGAGGGCGGCAAATTATCTGTATCCCACTCAGCTATAGGGTTTTCCGATCATATACGTGGCTAACAACCACTTAGCCATGTGTATATGAAATGGACCATGTATCCATCATTATTTTCATCTGTTCCAGCAAGACACTGACTTACCTTCTCACAATTTACCTACCTCACATGTGTGCTAAGGAAATTGAAATGTCTTTTAGTAAAGATGTGCAGGAAGCTTAATTGTTAAAGCAAAAATTTTAGTCACCCATCAAGTAGCAATTCATTTTGGAATATATGCTATGACTTTTAATCAGCCTCCTATAGGACTGTGAAGACCTTTTCAATTTTCTGATTTCTGAGGGAGGATAATTGAGCAATATTTGAGCAAATTGCCGTGGGCTTCCATCTTTAAAAACATCCTGTTTAGCCAGGCTGAGTCTGATAGTACCAACCAGCTCGGCTGACCTTGTGCTTATGGGCTCAAATCTTAACTATAGCATCTCCAAGCAACTCATTTTATATTCTTCTTAAACTCACCTACCCATTGCTCAAGGAACAGCTTTCTGTAGTTTCAGACCTTGCTTCTCTCCTGCCCAAACTCAATGGATTTGCCACTGGGTACCGAACCCACCCAGGACGCAGGGTGTTCTGGAGAGATTCTGACAATACGCTTCCATGGTTAGGATGCATTTCTCTGACGTGCAGGCTGAAGAGGACCGGGCTCTGGTTATGACTTTTTTTCAGTAATATTCCTAATCAAACAGCAAGGTGAATCATCAAAGTAACACAAGGACTGCTTTCAAGACAGTTTGTGACTCTTCTTTCCTTAAAGGTAGCCAAGATACAAACGTTGTGTTAACTAAGGGCACACATTTCCCTTGGAGATTTCATTCCCCCTCCTAGCATTTCATCTCGACAACTGTTGAGTCCTCGGCCAGCATTTATCTAAGTCTCGTGGTGTACCTAAAAGGATAACTTGTCACTGTGCCTGTAAAACAGCCAGTACGATTCTCAAGTCAAGCTGTCACATTCAAAATAATTAAAGATCAGTTAGGAAATGGAATGTTTCAGCTGTGAATTCTCATTATGTATTATTTCGCATCGGAATAAATTTTTAGAATCACAAAGTAAGAAAATGAAAAATGTTAATCTTACTACTTTTCAGCTGTATGGTATTAGCAATTCATTTACCTTCTTTGAATCACTTTCCTTTTCCATAAATGTGGGTATAAAGCCAAAAGTCAAGCTTCAAAACTGGGTGGATACATTTGGGAGACTCGAGAGGGGTCCAAGGCAGGGTTATATATAATCCGTTTAATGTTTTTTAAGATGTACTCCAGAAAATGTATTTTGAATTTGTTCACTCAGTTCATTGTATTCTTTGCATTTGCAGGAGGAACAGAATAATCCGCTGGATTTCCTGGGCTACGCCCCGTTCTGGTTGACCTTGTCGTCCTGCTGTGCCCCTTACATCGCCATGAGCAGCATTGACGATTACAAGGTAACAGAGGGTGACTGAAACTGCCACTACTTTGTGTGATTAGAAGTTGAAGGTAATGTAATTACAGGATTTCTCATGAGGCTCTTTACGTATCCTTCACTGAGCAGGCAATCCAGCCATGAATCCTAAATTATACAAATAAAAGGAAGTTTCACAAATGGAAATGGAAATGTATAGGTAAATAAGTAAATTACAGAGGTTGAATCTAAAATTCATGTGGCTATGCAAAGAATCTAGGATAGTCAAAATCACTTTGAAAAAGAAAAACGAAGTTGGAAGAAAAATATTCACAATACACGCATGTCTAACAAAAGATCTGTTTCAAGAATGTAAGGAATTCTTACACCTCAGTAGCAGAAGATAGCCTAATTAAAGGTGGGAGAAATATTTGAGCAGATACTTCACTGGAGATGTACAGAAGGAAAACCCTCTTGTGAAAAGTTGGCTAATACTATGTGTACATCAGGAAAATGACCCCAATGAGCTATGTCTATATAGCAAGTAAAATGAATAATAAAATGACTGACAATGTGAAGAGTTTGTGAGGATGTAGGGAAACTGGAACCCTCATGCATTGCTGGTGGGAGTGTAAATTGCACGATCACTTTGCAAAACAATTTGGCTCTTTCTTATAAAGTTAAAAGCACACTTATTGTATGACCCAGCAATTCCTGTCCTAAATGTTTACCCAAGAGAAAAGAAAACATCTTTCCCCATACAGAATTGTGCATTAATGTTCTAAGAACTCAAGTGTCCATTAAGTTGTGAATTGATGAATTCTGGAATAGCCATACAATGGAATATTACTCAGCAATACAAAAGGGAGAATAACTAATAAACACATTAGCATGAATGAGACTCACAACCATTACACTGAGGGAGTAAAGACAGACACAAAAGAGTAAATACCAAGTGATTTCATTTATAGGAAATTCTCAGAAAGGTAAAAGTAATCCATAGGAACAGAAAGCAGACCTGCGGTTTCTTATAACCAATGATAAATGCTATTGACTGCAAAACAACACAGGAAATTTTGGGGTGCGATGGAAATGTTCTGCACCTTAATTATGATTGTGGCACAGAAATACCTGCGTGCATCAATCCTCATACAACTGTCTACTTCATACGGGCTACTTTTTTTGTTTGACAATTACATTTCGAGGAAGTTAAGTAAAAAGAGATTGTTGAAAGAAAAGGAAGTGACATTTTTAAAACCCGAGAATTTGGAGAGATAAAAGGAAAATTCCAACATTTAACTGACAGTCTATTTATAAATTTTCATTCACGGGCACTCTTTTATTCATCCGAATGAATCTTTAACTTGTCTATAAATTATCAGAGAACCTTGTTAGAATGAAAATTCTGACTCAGCCGTTCTGCAGCGAGACAGTGGTACTCCTAGGGCGGTGAATTTCTAAGACTGATCAGCCCAGGCCAACTCACATTAGCCTTACCCACAAATTTCAGTAGGATAGCCTTTCCTGGCTCCATTTTTCTAGCTTTATTACCCCAAATCTGTGAAACCTCGCACAAACATCTCTGTTTACTCAGCACCATCTTCATTTGTTTCACTTCCTCCTTCTCCAAAGTAATTCTCTTGCCCGTGGGAAGAGAGCACTGTCTGTGTAATGTTCTATTTGTAGTGTGGATCCTCCAGGAATCTCGGTAATTTCCGTTTGCCTTCCCGATGTAACTGTCAGCGATGCTGGTGTTAGCATAATCCAAACTTAAAAACTTCTCCCATAGGAAACATGAATACTTTCTTTCTCTGGCCTGTGTGATGCCACAATTTCACCACGATTCTCCCAACACTTCGGCAACTCTCTCTGTCTCCTTTGAGGTTTCTTATTCCTCCGAGTCGCCTCTCAACCCTCAGCTCTCTTTTCGTGTTAGATGTCACTCTCTCCTAGGCAAGCTTGTCAAAGCTTTGGGCTTAAAATCCCCTCTCCCTACTGGTCACTCATGGATTTGACTCTAGCCCAGGTCTCTGATTTCTAATTTCACCTCCCAGGCTGATCCAAATTGCTTTCTCTGCATTTCCTCTGCAAGACTCTCGCATGCCATGCCTCCTAAACTGAATATACAGTATTCTTACACATGCTCCCCCTTCAGTATTTTCTAAATGGGGCACCGTGCCCTCGGTTGTCCTGGTGGGAACCTGAAACCTTTCTTCAGCCTTTCAATCATAGCTTCACCCACACACATGTCCAGTCAATCACTAAATCCTTATCAGTTTTACTACCTGAATGGGCCTGTGCTGGGAGATGCTGATTTGAATCCCTGGGTCAGATTACATCTCAGACAGGAGCATCATTTGGTTAATCAGAGCCCATCAACAAATGAATTTAAGTATATTTTAAAGAACGTATCTATATATTCAAAATGATCAGAATGGTTTAATATATAATTTGGGCCCAAAACCGCATGACTGAGTAAGTAGTTTTGAACGTAATTTAGTATGTTTACTCAGAGAATGACAAGAAATACAAAACGCATTTATATTTTTAAGTGTATTTGTGCTTACGTACATATACATAAATATTTGGGTGGGTATTAAATATTTGGATATGTGCTATGGTAAAACGAATGCATCATTTACTTAGATTGAAAGGATAAAGCAATTATACATATTCATAATCTATAAATTTTAACATAAAAATAATTTATAAAGTATATTTAACATATTATATATTTATGATATATACTATAGATATATATATTCTGTAACATGTATATATGGTCTGTAGTAGAGAGGAAAAGAGAGAGAGAGCACTTCATATTGGGCCAAAGCAGAATCATTCTGATGGGAAGTCAGCTGCTTAGATCAGCCATCCCACCCCACTCCCTAGGCCTCATAAGTCATTAATCGCTGTTCTGTTTACTGCAGCGTTAATCCCTTGATTATTCTGAGGTCTTTATCTCTACAGGTGTGTGATGAACGTCGTTGTTAATTAAAGCAGCAAACTGATCATTTATGTTTTGAACTATTCCTAATCCTTAGTCCGGGTAACATTCGTAGCCATGATACAGAATTATTACATATAAAGAATTTATTTGAATATTTCCTTATGTAATCCACATCCTTAAACCTCACATTGAAATACCCCTTTGTGTCTTCGCTGTCTCCTCCTCAGAACAAGGTTCGGTCCCAGCTGCGGACGTCGGGGCTCTTCCCTTCCGCGTACTGGTTTGGGCAGGCGCTGGTGGATGTCCCAGTGTACTGCCTCATCTTCCTGTTTATGTACTTAATGGACCACGGCTTAAACCTCCAAGACTCTATATTTAAAACGGTAGATCAGATCATACAAGTAAGTGACAATATTTGCAAAGGAAATCTCATGGGGTGATTTACTTGGAAAATCTGAAGATGCAAATAGTTTCCATTGATATTCACCTTGTAATAAATGTAGAACCCTGTGTTGTGATGTGTTTTAGACCCTAAATGTTGCCCTAGATTGCTTTGTTTTTAACTAAACCTAACATTCCTGTTGGTTTCAGATCCCGTGTGCTATTGGTTACGCCACGTCACTTATCTTTTTGATGTATGTGATTTCGTTCATTTTTCGCAAGGGGAGAAAAAATAGTGGCATTTGGTCCTTTTGCTTCTACATTGTAAGTTTGTTTCTTGGGAACATTTATTTTATATATTCAATATACAATTCTGAGATAATACTGTAAAATTTGCCCTTGACAGAATGATAAATTAATATTACAGTCTAAAATATTATAAGTTAGACTTCTACATGGACACTGTTGAAAATCTGCATCTTTTTCTCCTCCTATTCTTACCCTTGCAGTTCTTTAAATGTAGCCCAGTGTTTCCAGAATCATAAAATATTTATTAGAAGGACACATGGAAATCATCTATATCTTTCTTTCTTTCTCTCTCTCTTCCTTCCTTCTCTCTCTTTCTGTCTCTCTTTCTCTTTCTTTCTTCCTTCCTTCCCTCCTCCTTTTCTTTCTTTCTTTCTTTCTTTTTCTTTCTTTCTTTCTTTCTTTCTTTCTTTCTTTTCTTTTCTTTTCTTTTCTTTCAAAAAGGAAATAAACTCAAAGACCTCTACAGAGTTATACAAGATTACAAATACTGTTACTAGCAAAGTGAAGCTAGAAACTACTTCTCCAAACTACTGAGAATTGTTTCCACAAAGCAATGCTGATTTTATCTAAATTAGAAGGGAAATATGTATAATTTATGATTATAATCTGTTATAACTTCCTGTCACTTCAAAATGCCAAAAAGTAAATTATTAATTCAACAAACATTTGGTGGCTTCCATGTGTCACAAACTATGACTGACAATGGAGGAAAATATAAACGTTTCAACCTTGAAAGGCAGAGCCCAGAAGGTAAACAGATAACTTATTAAAACACAGTGATACAGAAAAGATTGTTGGGGTATCCTCCATCTTCAAAAAGTCTGTTATACTGCTGAGTGATACAGCGGTGTATGAAAGGCAGAGAAGAGAGAGATTCATTTATGAAAATGAAAAAAGAGATTTCCTTTAGGAAGTGAAACCTGCAAAAGAGTAAGATTTCAAAAGCCAGAGAAGAAAGATGATGATGCAAATAGGAAATAATGGATGAATGGAGATAATGGATGAACAGAAATGCAGAGGGGAAAAAGTCCAGGTTTATTTTTAGGAACTAATGATAATCTAGCATGGACATGGATGGAAAACAAGGTCTGCTTATGGTAAAAAAAAAAAAAGGATGTTTGACACCATTGCTGGCCTTCAGCAATGTGCTCAACTAGTTATTCTGCTGGATGTGGGGAGCCATAAAGCTTATGGTACAGAAAAGAAATATGCTCAGAGGCACACTTCTAGGAAGAATATTCTGCAAGCAACAAAGATTATGGCTTGTAATACAGAGAAATTACAAGTGCAACTTTTAGGAAGTCATTTCAGTGGCTTAAAAGTCTGAGAGCTTCAGGTACACCTAGAACTTTCTCTTAGTCCTGAATTTTGTATTTCAGTACTTCCACTTAAGCTACTCCGAGTTGTTAAATGCTTCTATTTCTCCGTTGGTATGGTTAACAAAAATCCTCCTTCATTGCTGGCTGTTGTTGCTTTATTCCTATTATATATCATTTTCAATTTTTCGCCATGATCATTGCTTATTTAATATTCTGAATTCTATGTCAAAAAAATATATATGCCAACTTTTTCCCCTTCTATAATTAGAATATTCTCTGTATCAGATCCCTAGGTTATTCTATCCAATGATGTCTACTCCAGGCCATAGGAATTTGGCTAAGTCACTAAGAGAAAATGTCAGTGAAGATATGCTAATTTCCACTTGGTTTTTGAGGCTGGAGTTGAAACTGGAAATATCTCCAAGATGATCATCTCTGCTGAACATAAATGGAAATTCAGAGGGGTTAACATGCATGCTTGCATTTTCTATAGGTCACCATCTTGGCTGTGATTGGATTTCTGCTGGATAACTCTGGGCACGGTGTTCTGTATGCCGTCACCTTTTTAATACCACCCGCCACATTAATTGGCTGTGAGTTCTTATCTTTCCACGTAAGTAGTGCCCATCTGTCCCCATGCTCTGGAATCCGCGACCAGTGGTGAAAGCTTTGCTTAGGCCTGGGGCTCTACAGCAGGTTGAAGGCATGTGGCTTATGAAGACTCCTGCTTCGTGGATGCTTGTTGAATTTCTCCCCAATAGGAAACTGTGCTCAGCTCAGCCGTAATAGAAAACGTGGCTTTGGGGTTTAGGTGTAGGGAGGCGGGGCCATGGGTGGTGAGGAGTAGAGCATCCCTTACACTCATTCTGGGCCTTACCTCCCCCTGGGCTCGCTCAGCTTTAGAAAAAGGCCGATGAAATGCCCCTAATCTTCGGGCTTCCAAGATTCCAGAGAAGCGCTCAGTATGAAGAAAAGGCCTTTTCTTCCCAGCTGACTGATACCTATATTTCTGCAAAAGGAAGGAGGGTACAATGCATGGGTGCAGAGGCATCCACGGGAGGGGAGAAAGGGAGAAGGGATCCTATGAAAGTAATAATGGGCACCGGGAAGATGTGTGAAGCCCTGGGCGACAAGGGTGAACCCTGTCTCCCTCTTAGTACGTGGGGGGGCTAGCACAGAGCCTCACAGCGCTCCCACAGGGGGATGAATAATGGCTAAAATCGATTGCTTCATGTAAATAAATAAATAAATAAAAATTTACAAGAAATGTATTAATTTAAAATATAATAAATTAATTAATGTATCATTAAATTTATTTAAATAAATAAAAGCACAGGGTCTCGTAGACTTTGGGAGGAAAGATGATACCCCCTCGCTGTGCAGCTTGGAATGGACCCTTGTCTGATACTCGTGGTGAAATCAGGGGACCTGTTGGTAGGGCCATTCTGTAGACCAGTAAACATTTATGTGGATAAAATTCATGAAACAAGATAACTGCCTGTTGAACCACTGTCTTTCCTTTTGCAGCTTTTCACATTTTATATCTCTGAGGAAGAACCAGGAAGTATAGAGGCATTCTTGGTATTCTTAATTGTAAGAACACACCCTTCTTTAACAATAATTGTGTCTTTTCACTATACTCAACCATTTTAATTCCTGTACACACTGTGAAGCTTTTTATTAAGGTGAATGCATAGCTCTCTATAGCCCATGGGGATATTTATAAAATATGGAAAACGTTTTTGTAAAGGTCAGTTGATCAGATAATAATCTTCCCACTTTTAAGAACAGTTTGTAACTATTATGGGAAATGGCACAAAGTAATGTTTCACATGATTATATTTGCTTCCAATGTTTCTGTAAACAGGATTTGACAATGAATTTGATAGCTTCATAATTTGACGACTAGATTATTGGAAGTTTGTAATGATTTTGCCAAATATATCTTTGTAGACGTCCAATTATTCCTACTTCACTTTTGACCTTAGACAGTTTCCTTTTAGTGTTTCTAACTATGTGTCTCTCTCTTTGTTCCTAGCCTTTCCTTCATTTTATCATCTTTCTTTTTATTCTTCGATGTCTGGAATGGAAGTTTGGAAAGAGATCAATGAGAAAGGATCCCTTCTTTAGGTTGGGAGAAATCAGATTAGATTCTGTTTTTATCTCAGTGATCGATATTTTAAAATACTTTTTCACACATAAACTAATCCATTAACAGAGAGGTACCACGTGCTCTAGGATAGGCTGGGGTAGGAACCATATGTTGATATTAATAGCAGAGATCTAGGTACCTAAATCAAAGAAGATTACAAATAGTGGAGGAAACAGTCCTGAAACATTGACTGTTAAGGGCTCTGTCTGACACCGTGTGCAGTGGAGCACTAGGGAAAGTTACATGCAGCCAGTTCAGTTTAAAGAGCAATCAATGTGAATACACTGACAGTCGAAGAGATATTGCTAATCCAGGAGGGAAGAATAACATGATGAAAAGGCCAAAGACAGCAGTGACTGTGCTTCTGTCCTGTGGTGGTAAGAAACCCAACTGGGAGATCATAGACTTTCAGTTTTTAATGGGACTTAAAAGCGGAGACTTTTTTCTTTTTTTTGCACCATGCAAGGATGAAACCATGAGCATCTTACTCCTGCGTCTCCCATAGCACATCAGTTTTAACTATTACAGATGGTTGCATGACCTCTAAGATGAAAGAAGACCTTTAAGAAGTCTTCTAAGGTCCGAATGGGGGATAAGGACAAGGGAAGAGAAGGTAGAACGAGTTATGTTATAGGTATCAGGGACCAGACTTAGAATGGAAGAGAGAGTGAGTGTGACCCGTATTTCAAATAAATGGCCAGGCTTAATAGGAGCACAAGTGTCTAACTTGTGTTTTCTGAGACCATCTTGATTTCAAATATTCTAGGCCCATTCTCTCCACAAAAATATAATAAAGCCAACATGTTGGGGTTAAAGCTAGGGTGCCCCCCCCCAAATTACTTCACTAAGCTATGAAATAAAGGCTCTTGGTCAGATAATAGCTACTAAGTTACCCATTGATTTTGAAAAAAAAAGTCTCTGTAGATAAGTTGAACAAAATATATGTAAGTGATGGTCACTAAATAAAGCAGAACCATTTACCGAAGAAGGAGGTTGGGAAGGGAGGAGGGTTCGCTGCAATGATGGTTTTTAATCACTCAATCTACTCAAGTGTGAGATTTAAAGGATGCAGTTATTCTTGACACAAAGACGAAAATGCAAAGTCAATGATCAATGGATGGCTTTGACTCTAGAATTTCACCAAGAAGCTGGGATGCGTGTCCAAATCCAGAAGAGCCAGAAGGGGAAGATGAGGATGTGCAGCTGGAAAGAGTGAGAACAGCAGTTGCTCTGAACTCCACAGACTTGGACGAGGTAAAACACACGAGGAAGCTATTGCCTCAGCTAACACCAGCGTTGGTCAGTTAAAGTGGCTGGTCCACAAGTCCAATTCTCAAACGTTTCTGAGTTTCTCTAATCCGTACAAATGAGGATCACTACTTTATTTTAATAGGTAGCCACCCTTTTGACAACAAAAGGAGCAGACAAAAAGTCATGTTAGTTCTCTTGGTCTGTTAAAATAAATAGAAGGAAGAAAGAAAAAAGAGGGGTGCCATTGAAATTGCAAAAGCCAAGAAAAGACTTGTGAATTTTAGAAACTGAACAAAGTGACCACTGCTCTTGGAGAAAGTGCACACTGTTCAAAGTTCAGGGCAAAGTCTGGTCCACAGCACGCGGAAGATGATCCGGTGCTTCTCCCGGTCCCTTTGCTCCTGTTCTGAGAGACGGGCCGGCCACACAAAACAGTGTGCTCCTGAGTAACTGCCTTTATAGGAGAGGAAAACGACGGTCTCTTCTCTCCAGCAAGAAGCGCTTGGATGGGAGTGGCCAATAAACACGTCGCCCAATAGAGGTTCTTCTTTGATGCCCGGTGTGTGCAGTGAGGGGCCAGCCTCATGGGAGGACAGAGTGTTCTCAAAGTTATTGGAGAGAATTAAGGTCTGATGACATGATGTAACTGTCTTTTACAGAAACCTGTCATTATCGCCAGCTGTCTACGCAAGGAATATGCAGGGAAGAGGAAACACTGCTTTGTCAAGAGGAAGAAGAAGACAGCCACAAGAAACATCTCTTTCTGTGTTAGGAAAGGTTAGACACAGTGGCTTTTCCAGTCTTGGCTCAGGGCCCTCCCAGAGCTTCATGGTTCCTGATGAGCATCTTTGGGCACCACCTCTTGGTTTGCACACAGGCCCATCGGCAGGGTGACCGTGACAGCTCCTTTTACATGTCTCATTTCTCAGTTAAATTAATTAACTCACCCCCCCCCAGAGAGGGACCTAGTCGCATCTACATGGAAACCATCAGCGTTGCATTAAAATGAACCACTGAAACCATGACATTTCTATTTAATGAACACGATTGATTTCCTGATGTTCATTACTTTTCACACGAGAACTAACTGGGGATGTGCCAGCACATTCTGAAGGCTTGACCGGCAAGGTGAGGTGGCCTCGCTTTGTGTCATTATCATACGGGGCTTAGGACCACAGGAAACAGTCTGACGCATCTGGCTTCCAGGAGTGGCTTTTCCACTTCCCTTCAGTGTGACTTTAGGCAACTAACCTCATCCTTAGAAGCTTCTGTTCCCCAGTATGTAAGAAAGGATCATGATAACAACCTCTCAGGGGGGTTGTGACAGTTATATGAGATTCTGTGTACAAAGCACATAGCACAACGCTTGTCACATAGCAAGACTTCAGACTAGCCTTTATTCTCAGTTTTACTATTAAAATCAATTAATATTAAATGTAACTATTTTTTTTTCAGGTGAGGTTTTAGGATTATTGGGACACAATGGAGCTGGTAAAAGTACATCCATTAAAGTGATAACTGGAGACACAAAACCAACTGCTGGACAGGTAGGTGAATTATGTGCAAAATATATTATATAGTGGTACACAAAATACATTTACCAGATGTCCAAACTTTTTAAACAGCTAAATGCCATTCGGTCATTAGTGATTAACGTGGCAGAATAATACATTCACAAATTAACACATTAAAACACGCAAAAATTAATCACTAAAAGGAGACAATTCTTCATGCCTTCATAGACATTTAGAGGGAATGTCCAGTATCAGATCAGAACTCAATATCAGGTTTCACACAAAGTCTATTTATATACCATAAACACATGGATTTACACCGTCAGTGAGCATTGTCTGCCCAGCACATCATGCTTTAATCTTGAATTTTAAAGTTAAAAAAAAACCTTATTAAGCAATTATATTCTTTGTCCTTCACAAAGTGTTTGGCTACTGGCACATATATTTTTATACAAATATATTCTTCCTTGGGAGTGTTTTCAAGGAATGGCTCAACTTGAATTGTACATGCAATTTAAATTGTATAAGGTGACCAGACAAACTGAAAAAGAGTTCTCTTATCAAAGAGAGAGAAAACATAAAATATAGAGAAAGCATTTTCCCCCAAATTCTATGGCAGAAGATAGGAAACTGTAAGAACTCCTCTGAAAAATGTGTCCAGCGTTGGCGGAGAGCAGACTCCAGGGCAGAGGTCTGTGGAACGACTGTGGAAGGTAGTTGGTGGTTGAGCTCCAAAGGGAGAAGACCCCAGGAACATGACTGGCAAATATCCCACTAGAGAGAGGGGGGAAGGCAGATGTTCACTGTCCCTATGAAGCCAAGGGGAAAGCGGGGCCTCGTGAAGGGGGCTGCTGCTTCAGCTGGGCCTGCCCTCCAGCGCAGTCCCCGCCAGGACCCTAACTCAGGATTTCACGTCTCATCAAGCATGGGCAAAAAGGAGGTAGCTGTGCAATGGCGTATCGGAATGAAATGTTCTAAAAGGTGAGATCTGAATTATAAAGCCAGCGACTTGGGTGTCATGAAATCAACTTTAATCAGATCAGCTGGTGTGCGCTCTATAAACCATGTCTTTCTCCTGCTTAAATCCTTTCAACAACCTCTCACTGCCCTGCGATTGGAAGGAAACGTCCCCATGGAGAACTCAGGCGGCTGCAGGAACTGACTTCCAAGTCCCCTGATCCGTCCTCCTCCCCTTCCTCACTCTGCTGCAGGCCCGCCTGCCTCTGCCTTGTGTCTGAGAACCATGGCTCTCCGTCCCTCCCCCGGGCTTGTCTCAGGTTTTTTTGCCCCAAATTCCTTTCCTCTGGGCTTTTCCATGGCAGGTGCCCTCTTGCTCTGCTGCTGAAATGGCCGCTCAGCAGACCGGCTGTCTCTGATTCACTTCCCCTGTTATTCTGCAACCCAGCCTCCAAATATTTCCATTTTTGTTATGATCCCTCTGTATTCTGTGTACTCATTTCTCTATTTGTTTATTGCCTGGTACGCTCCGTGGAATGAAAACTCCACCTTAACAGCATGCTGCCTATTCCATTTCTCACTGTATCCAAAGCAGGCAGCACAGCATTTGTCACACAGGCGGTTCTCAAAACACGTTTGACCGATGAGTGAAATTCAGTGCGAGTAATTAAATCAATATACTCCTTTCTGACAGTGATGTGTGTAAACTGTTGGCTGTGATGGTCAGACATCACATTTGTGAGACATTTGACTTTTCAGCTTAGATTAGGTTGTGCATACCGTTTTCATGTTTCCTTCTCTGACAACCTTCCTCCAATGCAAAACGATTACAGATGATTAAATTCAGTCAGGACCTAGAGATGCTCTAGCTTTTGTAGGTGTGTAAGGAGAAAGATGCAGGAGGTGAAAACAAAGCCAGAGCACAGGCTCTGAGAGGGGACTTTCCTCTGCAGGTGCTACTGAAAGGGCGCGGCGGAGGGGACGCCCTGGGGTTCCTGGGCTACTGTCCCCAGGAGAACGCGCTGTGGCCCAGCCTGACGGTGCAGGAGCACCTGGAGGTGTTCGCCGCCGTGAAAGGGCTGAGGAAAGCAGATGCCATGGCCGCCGTCACACGGTACACGGGGGAGACACATCTGTTCTCCCCTGAGGGGATGGGGAGACGGCTGGGAGGGCCGGCCTTCATGGAAGCTCAGGGCAGGGGCTCTGAACGCAGACCTGGGCCACAATGGGTAGATTTCCAACTAGAAACTGGTTTCCTAGATTTCAAAGTGTTATTTTTTTCCCTCACATTAAATATGGAAAGAAAAAACTTACCATTGGTAGAATTTATCAACAATACTAATATTTAAATATAAACTGTTTATCATAGGGCAGCTATCTGGATATCCTGAAATGTGCCTACATTTTCTTTTTAAAAGAAAGGCTGTTTTTTCAGGGGATCAGCCAGTGTGAGATGACTGGGTATCATTTTCACAACCGCATTTCTGAGCTCTGGTCCCCACGCATGTCCCGCCTGGCCCTTCTCCCATCAACATTCCTTGTTATCTAGAAGCCTGTAACACTCTGTCTCCTTCAGGCTGGTGGATGCGCTCAAGCTGCAGGAGCAGCTGAAGCTCCCCGTGAAGGCTTTATCCGAGGGAGGAAAGCGAAAGGTAGGGGCGGGGCGGGGTGCTCCTCTGCGCACCCCCAGGTCGGTGCCAGACGCGGTTCCTCTCCTTCCAGCTGTGCTTCGCGCTGAGCCTCCTGGGAAACCCGTCGGTGGTGCTTCTGGACGAGCCG